CCGATATTAAATATATGTATGAATAGCCCTACTTTTGCTGAATAAAATGATATATTTTTTATCGTAATTTATTTAAACTTTTGTGGTGAGTGTACATATATAAATTTACAAAAAATCATTTGTCACATAATTCATTCGTCAATGGCATTGTCTTAACGAAAGGTTTATACGAATAGACTATTTAGCTCTAAATTACATATATTAACTTACCGTTACATAGTAATTTTTTAATTATATTTATCAATCGTCATGGGTTTCGTCAATCGTTAATTCGTCAAATCAAAAATTGCTTGACGAAAGATTTCGTCATTTGTCATTCGTCATGTATCATTTAATCTAGACGGTCTATTTTTCATGACGATCGGTGTGTTAAATGATGTCGTGTCGGGTATGTCGGGATGTTAAATTTTGGAAGTTGGATCATCGGAAGATGGGGTGTCGGGAGATTGAGTGGCATCCCGTAAATTTTTGACCGTCAAAATAAAATTCGATCCTAAAATCACTCCTATGATAAAATCACATAATATCAAATAAGGCTCGATCTGTACATGTACATTTGTATTTTGTGAAACAAAATCATTAATAAATGTAAACCATTATAATATACAATGTTAATGAACATTTAGTATCCATAAAAGTGACGCGTATTTTGACAATTATACATTATAGATCACATTATTTGATTGCACAACGCCTTTGCTCAATAACATTATAGATTACATAACATCTTTGCTTATATGCTATTATGAATTATAATGCCAAAAGATGACAAAATTTTTGATTTGATTTAATTTATAAAAAGGTTGTGTTTTTGCTTTTTTGACCTTTCATATTCATTCGATATAGTAAAATGAGTACGCCGGATAGTAATAAAAAACCAAAAAAAAATTTTGCAAAGCCAAAATCTATTACGTTTGATCCTGATGACGATGGTTCAATGCGTCTATCATTTAAATATTCGGATGGATGCAAGCATGAAATCATCTTAGAACCTCATACAGATGTGTTCTCTGATAAAATGCTTAATAATGGTAAAAAGAAACTAGCCAACTATTTTTTGATGTACAGAAGTTGTCTTTCAAATGCAATGTTAAAAGAAGAAGAATTGCGTTGCACCGAGAAGTCGTGCCCTTTGATTGCACTTTCTAAGAAGGATAGACAAACTTTTATATCACAACTAAGCTCACATATAAGGGAAGAGCATAGAAATATAATCTCTCGCGTATTTTCTCCATTATATGGAAAATTAAAAAGTGTTAGAAAGCAAACGCCAACTAACGTGTGAGTCTTTGCTTTATTTCTAAAAATTATAAATTTTTTTTAAATTTGATTTCTATTAAACTTAAAAAATAAAAATTCGCGTGTCATTCTAGGAATAAACCACAACGATGCTATTCCGATTCGGCGATCTCAACATCCTCATTTCTAGCAGGATCAACTATTTCAATGCCTTCACAATCTTCAGCGGCTGGTACACCAGAAATATTATCATATTTTGATTCAGAAGATTTTATGAATCCAAGCCCAACTACTCGGTTATCATGCCCGAGCGCAGTTTCTACAATTTCACAATATCCATCTCTGGCTGGTTCGCAAGAGACACAATCATATTTTGGTTTAGTGCATTCTACAGAACCAAGCACAATTACTCAGTCATCAGAGATCATATCAAACCCGAGCATAAATTCTACCACTTCACAATATTCATCTCTAGCTGGTTCGCCCATTACAACGCCTTCACAATCTTCAACGGCTAGTACGCCAGAAACATCATATTTTAATTCAGAAAATTTTATGGAGCCAAGCCCAATTACTCAGTTATCATGCCCGAGCGCAATTTCTACAATTTCACAGTATCCATATATGGCTGGTTCGCAAGAAACACCATCATATTTTGGTTTAGTGTATTCTATGGAACCAAGTACAATTACTCAGTCATCAGAGATGATATCAAGCCCGAGCATAAATTTTACCACTTCACAATATTCATCTCTAGCTGGTTCGCCCATTACAGCGCCTTCACAATCTTCAGCGGCTGGTACGCCAGAAATATCATCATATTTTGATTCAGAAAATTTTATGGAGCCAAGCCCAATTATTCGGTTATCATGCCCGAGCGCAATTTCTACACAATCATATTTTGGTTTAGTGTATTCTATGGAACCAAGCACAATTACTCAGTCATCTGAGATGATATCAAGCCCGAGCATAAATTCTACCACTTCACAATTATCAACTTCCCGGAATGCGACATTAGATTGTCACGTAGCATGGCTCTGACTCGTCGAAAATCCACAAACTTTTTATATTTTGAATCTCGGAGTTAAACTTTATTATTCAGTCGTTGAAACAACTTCGGACCTGTGCGTGAATTTCAATTCAGTGACTCCTCTAAATTTTGTGGCGGATAATCATCAAAAAAAGTTCTTAATATACTTATACGATGAATTTTAAGGCGCAAATTTATTAATTATTTTAATTCGTCGTTGCAAAGTTTGCAATTATTGTTAGGGTACGAGTAAATTCTGTATAAATCATAAATAACTGGCATTTTGGTTAATTTTTTATTTATCGATTAAAAAAATATTAGGCTTACTAAGTAGATTTACAATTGGATTAGTCCAAGCAAATTTCTTGATGCAATCCAAGACCTATATAAAATGTCACATAATATTATTAAGAACACGAGTCATTCTCAAGATTTTGGTTTGGATCAATTTATCCTTGTATTTTTTGCAACCCTAATTGAAATTCAATGATATATATTACTTACTGCTTGCATATCTTATTATCTTTTTGAAATAATAAACTTTACCATGTTATTTCTTTTGTAATGAAGATTAAACATTCATTTGTATTTACTGCAAATACATGTAATGCGCTTTTCTTTTATCGTCGTTTTTTTTTGTGAAAGTAAGTTAGTTCTTGTTTAACGGAAACTTTCTTGAATTTTATCAGATGAATGAAAATTTACTGTATGTTACGATAACGTGGTCGGATTTTTTTTCATAGATATGCCGAGTTTTATTTAACGTTAATACCGATAAGGTTTCCTTGTGTGTATGTATACACGTGGTTCTGGAGAAAATCATCAAAATTATAAATTACAAGTACGTCGTCCTTTTTTATCTTATCGTTTTTGCTTTTTTGACCTTTCTTATTCATTCGATATAGTGAAATGAGTACGCCAGATAGTAATAAAAACCCAAAAATAATTTTGCAAAGTCAAAATCTATTTCGTTTTATCTTGATGACGTCTATCATCTAAATACAGAGGGTTATCAAAAGTTTCTGAACGAATTTTTATGCAATATAAAACACATAATTTTTAAAACTAGGCCAAAAAACTTTATTAAAACTTTATTTTAAGCTTATCAAAACCTACATTTCGTATTATTAAACTAGTATTTAATTGGGCCACCTTCCGCCGCAATCACCGCCTGAATTCGTACTGGATACTATCGACTAAATTTTCGATCATACATTTCGGAATTGCTTTCCATGCATCCAGTTTCGGCATGCCTTTTTAATGTATCATAAACTGTTGTTTTGCCACATCCAACAGTTTCTGCAATCTGATTATATGAATTACCATTTTTACGAAGATAAAATATAGCACCTCATCGTTCCACGGTTAATTCGTTATTTTTTCCCATTGTTGCAGTTGTAACCACAATTTGTAAAAAAATGAAGTTAGAAGAAAAATTGAATTATAAATGTTTTTTAAGACAAAATAAACAAAAACAAACCATATTTGTATAATAAACATTACCTTTTTTGTATAGCAATTGCATTCCAAAAATCGCGTTCAGAAACTTTTGATAACCCTCTGTATTTGGATGGATGCGAGCATAAAATTATCTTAGAACCTCACGCCGATGAGTTCTTTGATAAAATGGTAAAACGAAACTAGCCAACTATTTTTTGATATTCAGAGTAGTCTTACAAATGCAGTGTTAAAAGAAGAAGAATTGCGTTGCGCCGCGCAGTCGTGCCCTTTGTTTGTGCTTTCTAGTAAGGATAAACAAAGTTTTATATCACAACTAAGCTCAGATATAAGGGAAGAGCATGAAAGTATAATCTTTCATGAATTTTCTCCATTATATGGAAAATTAAAAAGTATTAAAAAGCAAACGCCAACTAACGTGTGAGTCCTCGCTTTGTTTTTAAAAATTATAAATTTTTTTTAAATTCGATTTCTATTAAACTTAAAAACTAAAATTCGCGTGTCATTCTAGGAATAAACCACAACGATGCTATTCCGATTCGGCGATCTCAACATCCTCATTTCTAGCAGGATCAACTATTTCAATGCCTTCACAATCTTCAGCGGCTGGTACACCAGAAATATTATCATATTTTGATTCAGAAGATTTTATGAATCCAAGCCCAACTACTCGGTTATCATGCCCGAGCGCAGTTTCTACAATTTCACAATATCCATCTCTGGCTGGTTCGCAAGAGACACAATCATATTTTGGTTTAGTGCATTCTACAGAACCAAGCACAATTACTCAGTCATCAGAGATCATATCAAACCCGAGCATAAATTCTACCACTTCACAATATTCATCTCTAGCTGGTTCGCCCATTACAACGCCTTCACAATCTTCAACGGCTAGTACGCCAGAAACATCATATTTTAATTCAGAAAATTTTATGGAGCCAAGCCTAATTATACGGTTATCATGCCCGAGCGTAATTTCTACAATTTCACAGTATCCATCTCTGGCTGGTTCGCAAGAAACACCATCATATTTTAGTTTAGTGCATTCTACGGAACCAAGCACAATTACTAAGTCATCAGACATGATATCATAAATTCTACCACTTCACAATATTCATCTCTAGCTGGTTTGCCCATTACAACGCCTTCACAATCTTCAGCAGCTGGTACGCCAGAAATATCATCATATTTTGATTCAGAAAATTTTATGGAGCCAAGCCCAATTACTCGGTTATCATGCCCGAGCGCAATTTCTACAATTTCACAGTATCCATTTATGGCTGGTTCGTAAGAGATATCATATTTTAGTTTAGTGTATTCCACGGAACCAAGCACAATTACTTGGTCATCACAGATAATATCAAGCCCGAGCATAAATTTTACTATTTCACAATATTTGGTTCGCCCATCACAGCGTCTTCACAATCTTCAGTGGCTGGTACGCCAGAAACATCATCATATTTTGATTCAGAAAATTTTATGGCCAAGCCCAATTACTCGGTTATCATGCTTGAGAGCAATTTCTGCAATTTCTACAATTTCACAGTATCCATCTCTGGCTGGTTTGCTATCATATTTTAGTTTAGTGTATTCTATGGAACCAAGCACAATTACTCAGTCATCTGAGATGATATCAAGCCCGAGCATAAATTCTACCACTTCACAATTATTAACTTCCCGGAATGCGACATTAGATTGTAACTAACCACGGATCTGATTCATCGAAAATCCTCAAATTTTTATATTTTGAATCAAGGGGTTAAGCTTGATTATTCAGTCGTTGAAACAACTTCGGACCTGTGCGCGAATTTCAATTCAGTGACTCCTCCAAATTTTGTGGTGGATAATCATCAAAAAAGTTTTAATATACATACATATACGATGAATTTAAAGGCGCCAATTTATTAATTATCTTAATTCGTTGCTGCAAAAGTTTGCAATTATTGTTAGGTACGAGTAATTCTGTATAAATCATAAATAATTAACTTTTTTGGTTAATTTTTTATTTATCTATTAAAAAAATATTAAGCTTACTAAGCAGAGTTTCAATTGGATTAGTCCAAACAAATTTCTTGATGCAATCCAAGACCTATATATAAAATGCCACATAATATTGCTGTATATATTACTTATTGCTTGCATATTTTATTATCTTTTGAAATAAAAATTTTCTAAACTTTACCATGTAATTTCTTTTGTAATGAAGATTAAACATTCGTTTGTATTTACTGCAAATACATGTAATGCGCTTTTCTCTTATCGTCATTTTTTTGTGAAAATAAGTTCAAGTGAATATTTATGTGATCCTTGTTTGACGGATACTTCCTTGAATTTATCGGATGAATGAAAATTTACTGTATGTTATACGATAACGTGGTCGGATTCTTTTTCATAGATACTCCGAGTTTTATTTAACGCTAATGAGTTCTTTGTGTATGTATACACGTGGTTCGGGAGAAAATCAGCAAAATTATAAATTACAAGCGCGTCGTCCTTTTTTATCTTATCGTTTTATTATTTTTCCTCTTTGTTATTTTATTGAAAATTTGAAACAATAAACGAATGCAAATCTTGAAATATCCATTGTTGAAAAATAAATCATAATCTTTAAATGCAAACATGAGTTTAGACTCCTACACAAACGAATTCATAATAATGAATTTAATAATAACCGGCAGGCCGTTACGCGTCAAAAAACTATATTATACCAAACAATCATATCAAATTGATTGTTCTAAATACAAAGATTTGCCCAACAATAAAAAGAAATATCAACAAACATGTGAGTCTTACCTCTGATTTCTCTTTTTTGTTAAAATTATGCAATAATTGAATTTTACTTTTATGTTAAAATATAGAATGTTAAATATAAACGAATTTGCATTAAAAGCTAGATTTTCATCATTTGTTACAGTATCCTAGCTAATGCCAAATTTTTCGTGAACAAAATCAGGTGGTTTTCCCTGTAAAATCGTTACAAATTGCAAAAATTACAGGTAGTTACAGATCAAACTTTCTCGTTTTGGTAAAAAAATAAATTTGACGTATAGTATTGTTTTCAATATATTTGTTGTCATTGGCGATTAATAATAGTTCATGATGCTGTCAATAATTGTGCATGTGATTTTTTTCATGCGTACAGATTTATTAAAAACTGCTAATCAAATTTAGACATGATTAACCAAACTTTAAATTCCAAGACTCTGCTCATATATTTTTGATATAATCTCTTTCTTGAGAAATATCCCAAAAATCAAAAGTAATGTTACTATAGTAACATATTCATAGTAACATAAATTTCTTTAATTCTGTAATTTTTGGAAATTAAGATTTTTGGTCAATTAATAATTTAATAGAGAATATATAATATTGAATGATTTAATTGATGTATAATCACACTTCAGCTATGATTCAATTTTGCTTCTGTAATACTTCAGAATTATAGATATATAATTTGCTCAAAATTAGTTACAATTTAGAAATAGTTTAGCTACACTTTAAAAATGATTCAGATATAAATTTAAAATGAATTTCTTTTATTTTTCTTTATTTATTATTAATTACCTTTCCTTTATAGAATATCTATCTTGTTTTCTCATTTATTATTTAATCTTATTTTCATTATTTATATTATTTTTTAGTTTTCATATGTATTTTATCTTTTAATTTTATTTGTTAGTTTATATTTTATTACTTGATTTTTATTTTATACTTGCTATAATAATTACAAATAAATTGTAAGTAAAGCTCAAATAAAATCTATATAACTTTAAATATATATAAATATCTCTGCTATTAAATATGAAATAAACATACTTATTTTTCTATACTTAAAAATACTTGAATTATACTTATCTTTATTTCTTTTACTTTGATATTTTTACTTTTAATTATCTCTTCTATTATAATAGATTATATCTAATTTTTATATATTTTTCTTGTATAAAAAATATAAATAATAAATATCCTTCACTTTAAATAAATCCAGTATATTTATTTTAATTTATAAGATTCTTGTAAGCTTTTCTATATATAAAGATTTATCTTATTTTTAAATATTAATGATTAAAATAATATTCTTAAAGAATTTAATTAATATACTAAATCTATAGTTTATAGTTTTATATTTTAGTTATAAATATTTTTTTTATATTTTTCTGATTATAACTTCTATTTATTTATTTTTATTTTTATTTTATATTAATATAATATTTATAAATATTAATATTAAAAAACTTTAGAATAATTATAATTTTCTTTATCTTTATAAATAATTTAGTCTTCACTTTTAAAACTTATTATAAGCTATATTCCTGATAAAATCTATCTTTATAAATATAATTTGTAATATTTAATATTCTCTTTATAAAAATAAAATCTCCAAAAATCTCTTTTATTTTCTTAATTATCTTTTATTTATTTATTAATCATTTTAAGAATTAGCTATTCTTAAAATATTTTGTTTTATCTATATAATTTATAGCTTATAAATATAATAATTTTAATTAAATAATTTTCTTTTAGATTAAATCTTTATTTTATACTATCTATAAGATTATTTTGTTAATAGTTATAAATAAAATAAAATATAATATAAATAGTTTTAATTTATAAATCTATAATTTTATTATTTGAATAGTATTCAGATTTAAAATTAAATTATAAAATAAAGAATATACATTTATAAAAAAAGAAATAAATATGAAATATGAATAAATTATAAATAATTAATTTAATAAAAGTATATATGATTGAATAGAATTAATTATTTTAATTCATATTTTCAAAAGATAATTAATTATAATTTAATAAATTATAAATATAATAAATAATAATATAAATAATAATAAATAATAATAAAAAGAATGAGTAAAAATATAAAAAAATATCAATTAATAAATATAATTAAAAATATTAATAATCTAAATTAATAATAAAACTATATATAATTATTATTTATATAATAATATATTAAATATAAGACTGATTATTTATATATTTAGAATGAAATTAATCTTTAAGAAAAGTGATACAAAAATTAATTTATTATATAAATAGTGCAAAATAAAGATCTAAGCTAAAAAGAAATAATTTAATCAAAATTATTATATACTTTTCTACTTAAAATATAATATTCTTTCAGATTAATAAGTAATAATAAAGATATATTTTATAAGAGATATGATCTATTAGTTTATTCTAGCAAAGTAACCTTGTTAATTTTAAATAACTATATCAAGATATTATAATTAATAATTATTTTAAAGACAGTTTCAAGTAGATAATGATGAAACTATCAAATAACTCATACTATTGCTAGTACTTCTTTTTTAGTAACTTCATATTTTTATTCATTTAGTTTTAAAGTAATATTTATGTAAATAACTATTTATTCTCTTTTATTTTTATCTTTTTAAGATAGGACAGCTTCAAGTTCTAAGTCTGAAATATTAGTATAAAGATAGAATTTCTTTGTAAAATTAGAATTAATCAAAATAAATATAATTATAAGATATTATTTTATTTATTAAAAAGCTTTTTCTTATTTTATAATTCAAATAAATAATTCTTTATTTTGGAGAAGTTTGAATAGAGATGTAATAATTTTGATTAGGTTATCTTTCTTTAGATCTCTTTTAGCTTAGATCTTCATTTTGCGCTATCTGTATAACAGATTAGCTTTGTATTAC